CTGCGTTTACAGGGGCCAGGGATTAATAATAACAAAACACTTACAGTTGCACGCAAGCTTCGTGCTCGTCATGGGCGGGTGGTGGGGGGAGGGGGGGGGTCAACGCCTCGCCACCGAACACTTCAACGTCAGACAACGGTTTAAAGATGTGCGTTGGTGTGAGCCAGAACGGCGTTCTGCATGTGAAATTGTGTGTGTGAGCGTTTTTCGGTCATCGGCCGCGCACAGCTTTGTAGTGTGCGCACTACATGCAGTACATCACAGGGTAAACAGCTCTGTTACGTTACAACGTAACATGAGCTGAGGATCTCAGACAGAGACCTCACCTGAGAGTGTGTGTGTGTGTGTGTGTGCGCGTGTGTGTTGCATGTTGACCTATTGATCTGCTAATTTAGTCGCCTTCTGCCAGCGTTTCTCTCTAAGTCCATCACAAGGTAAACAACTTTGCCGTTGCAACGAAATCTGAGCCAGAGGATCTCAGACAGAGACCTCTTTACCTGAGTGTGTGTGTGTGTGTGTGTGTGTGCACATGTGTGTGTGTGTGTGTGTTGCGTGTTGAGCTATTGATCTGCTAATTTAGTCACCTTCTGCCAGCGTTCCTCTCTAAGTCCAGAGTGCTTAAGGAAAAATGTCTGAGGAGGAAACAGAGCTACAGAGCAGAGAGAGAGAGAGAGAGAGACAGAGAGACAGAGAGAGAGAGAGAGACAGAGAGAGAGAGAGACAGAGAGAGAGAGAGAGAGAGAGAGAGAGAGAGATAGACAGCTAATGAGAAACTATACATAGATGGATCAGGAGGCGCGAGAACACACCAGGAAAACAATATTGGGCGAGAGAAAGACAACAACATGTTAGAGGCCTACTCACCTTAGGTAGAACCGCTGCTTGTTGTTGCATGACCGCCCAACGGGACGATTTGCCGAGAAGTTGCCAGAAGAATAAATGGAAGTTTGAATTACGTAATTACAGATGGAATTACATGAAAGATCATTGTGGTTCACTGGGTAAAAATAATAACGCTCAGGGAAAAACCGTGCGGTATGGGTAAAGTGTTGTAAAGTAATTTGAGCGGAGAGAGAGAGGCCTGGGTTTCCACACTCAGAGGATAACGAGAAGACCATCGTCTAGTTTATGGGGCTCATTCTCTCTCTTCCTCCAACTCTCTCTCTCTTTCTTTCTTCCTGTCTCTGTCACTCTCCCTCTCTCTCTCTCTCACACACACACACATGCACGCACACACACACACACACATACACATGTTTTCACACACACATGCTCTCTGTCTCACTCTTACACACATTCTGACACAAACAAACACATACGCGTCACACACACACGCACACTCTCGCAGACACACATGCTCTCACACACACACACACACACACGCATGCACACACGCACGCACTCATACACATGTTTTCACACAAACAAACACACACGCGTCACACACATGCACTCTCTCGCACACACACTCTCTCATGACCACACGCACACACACACACACACACACACACATTCCCCTCACGCCCGGTCCCCTCTGACACGGCGTCAGGGTAATGTGCCATTAATCTAGCGCTGAAAACACATTATTGACTAATCAATAGCTACTAGGTGCACAGGAAAAGGGAGAAGGAAGTGAGGGGTGTGTGTGTGTGTTGGGGAGGGGGGGGGGGGGGGGGGGGGGGGGGCGGAGACCTAAGGAGGAGCAACACTAATCTGCGAAACACAGGGGCGAATGTGCTCCACCCGTGTTGTGGACACAGTATATTCATTGTGGTCAATAGGGCTCCATTAACACCAGATGAGTCTGTTGTCTCCCGTGTGAGAAGTCTCCCTCCTTCCGCCAACAACCTTTTAGTTACCATTGGTTTCCTAGTCCTCCCCAGGCAGGTGTAGGTTACACATTGTGTCTCCCATTACGGTCACGGGCAAGCGTATGTGTGTGTGTGTGTGTGTGTGTGTGTGAGGAGTTGGGGGTGTGGTGTGTGGTGTGTGTGTGTGTGGGTGTGTGTGTATGTGTGTGTATGAAGAGTTGGGGGGGGTTGGGGGTGTGTGTGCATGTGTGTGCATGTGTGTGTGTATGTGTGTGTGTATGAGGGGTTGGGGGTGTGTGTGCATGTGTGTGCATGTGTGTGTGTATGTGTGTGTGTATGAGGAGTTGGGGGGTGTGTGGTGTGTGTGTGTGTGTGTGGTGTGTGTGTGTGTATGTGTGTGCGAGGGTGTGTGTGTCTCTCTCTCTCTCTGAGCAAGTGTTTGCAATGCCATTATTGTGACTTAAGTGTGCATCCCTTCTGCCATCTTGCCTGGGATGCGTTGCTTCTGCTCATGTGCAGGAGGACGTCGAAATACGAACAGAGAACAAAAGGGAGCGTCGACCTTCGCGTGGCTCGGAGCTTTTAAGCTTTCCAGGAGGAATGTCTAAAATGTCTGAGATATGCGGAGCGTTCAACGTTGTGGCTTACAAGTTTTTTTGCCGGCTTAGCCCGGGATCTGTGATATCAATGGTATTAATATGAAAGGAGAACATTTAGGTGCGTCGCGGAGGTTGGCACCCGTGTGACCAGCCACTTAAATTAAAAGGCATCTTAATGGCTCAGAGCGACTGCTCTGCTAATCTAGTTTTAGGCTATAGCAACGTGTTGGGCCGCGGCGACCGTGACAGTCATGCGGTCTCACTCCGCCTCATGAATCATTAAGCCATTATAAATATGTATACATAGTATATATACACACACACATATACAGTATATGGTCAGTTGAATACACACAGCCACACCTTCAGACAACATAGGCACATAGCCATGTCCATCAATCTATCAACACACACACACACACACACACACAAACACACACGCGCGCGCATACAAGCCCATGCGTGGGCACGCACGCACACACACACACACACACACACACACACATACATACATACACACACCACGACACACCACACCCCCAACCCCCCCAACTCCTCATACACACACACACACACACACATACATAAAAACCACACCCCCAACCCCCCCAACTCCTCATACACACACACGCACACACACACACACACACACACACACCAAACATTTTCCTACAGTGTCGGGTCATCTCGATCTAAGAGCACAGCATGTAATGCACGCGTAGCCGAGGCTGACCCAGATGCCTCCACACACAGTGACATGACACAAGGCAGCGCCCAGGGGACGAGAGAGACACTGGCGGGTTGCCATTTACACCTCCAAACACAGAGGGAGAGGGAGAGAGAGAGAGAGAGAGAGAGAGATGACCCCCTACCTCCCGATCCAAGTCTATCGCCTGGAATATGTATCTAAAAATATCAGATTATTATTAATATTATTAATATTGTTAATATTATCAATATTATCAATATTATTATTATTATTATTATTATTATTATTATTATTATTATTATTATTATCTGTCCATTTTGTATCCTTGGTGTTTGATTTTTTTTAAAATAATAAAGGCAGAACATTTGGTCTTAATGGACACCAGAGAGTAGATAGGGAATGGTAGGGTTGAAGATGAATTATGGAAAATAAAAGATTGACCAGTGACTCCTAGTGGGAGGAAAGGTAGTTAGGTAGCTAGGATGAGACTGTGCGGCTGTGTGTTTATGGGATGTCGGGTCTGCAGTCTCCAAAGGGATGCCTCTGAAGGTGTCCACATAACACAGGCCTATATCCATAACACCTATGTAGTCAGCAGCATGTCTCTGCCAACGCTTACACACACACACACACACACACACACACACACACACACACACACACACACACACACACACACACACACACACACACACACACACACACACACACACACACACACAAGGTAACAGGAGGTTTTCATACCCATGATATCATTTTATTTATTGAAGTGTTAGTTGTTCATCTAATTGTGCCAAAACCGGTGGGAGATGGTGTGTGAGCGGGAGTGCCAAATGAGTGATATTAGAAAATAAATATCGACCAGGACAGACTAACTCATGTAACACCCGGGAGCACACCGGGGACCGCAAAGAGCCATACCGTGTTGTAAGCATTTAAACCTCATCTGGGAACGGCCGTCGTCGCGGGAAACGAGTGACACTTCGCGGGTCTATACGTTCAACATCTACGTGACGAACCAAACAAATCCTCCTCCTCTGTGAAGTTCTTCAAACCCAAACAAAATGCCAAACATAATGAAAGTGTTAAAAGAGATGTATAGCGCCGTGTCTGTTTATTTTTTCCGGGTTTTTTTTTGTTTTTTTTCTTTCCACGTGAGAGATCGATACATAAATACATTTCTCAACACGCTCGTCCCACTCGACCCCACAGCCGGAGAGCTGAAAAGTAGTGAACTGCGCCTCCTCTTAGAGCTGGGAGGGGGGGGGGGGGGTCTCCCGATGGACCGGGATCCCCTTTGGCCAGTTCTGGGCTTCCTCTAAGTGCTCAGTAATAGCTTGCAATCAGCACAGATGGACAGAAACCAACGCTTTGCCCCCAGGAAAGAAATATAAATAAATAAGATGAATAAATTAAAGCCCGGGGTCCTTAAGACCGCATTTTGCGTCGGGCATGTGTTTTATAATGAATATAGATTCGGGGTGTTGTGAAATATTTATGGTCTGTGTGAGTGTTTGTGTATAGGGGGCGAGTGTGTGTGTGTGTGTTGTGCTGTGTGTGTGCTGTGTGTGTGTGTGTGTGCGTGTGAGAGTGGAGGAGGAAGTGAAATAGCCTTGCTAATAGTGTGAAATAACATCCCAAGTGAACTGACGACAAAAAAAAACCCAAAGCATGCGCACACACAGACACACGTCGAAGCTTTCAAACAAGTGCCCCCTTTTACGGACAGCCCAGCGGCGGAACCGTTTATCAGCCGGAATCGACGCGACGGCGAAAGGACCGACGTATTACTTCTTGGCGCCAATGAACCTTTGGACACTGACTGTACTCTTTGAGTTTCTTTTTGTGTAATAGAAGTTTTTCTTATAATAAGGAAAAAGAGGGCAGGAAAGCGTAGCGGCAGTAGAGCGATCGTCTCCGATCGATAGGTCGATCGGTAGGCTCTGGGTTCGATCCCCAATGCGGCCCGCCTGTATAGGCATCCTTGATCAAGACGCCTAACCTGGTTGTGCATCCCAAGTCTCTTAAATTAAATCCCTTGTGTCCTTTCCCTTTGCGTCTTAGTCCCTCCCACCGAGGATGCATGGAGAGGCTGCTCTCATGTATCATAGCTCCTCAGAGATGACTCCTCGCTCTCAAATCCTGGCTCCTCGGAGCAGAAATAAGAGCCTTGGGACGACCTTCAAAATGGCGGATCAGAACCGCTTCCGGTTCAAAGTGAGGAGCAAAGAAATATCGAATAAGAGACTTGGGATGCACCCCTGGAGTGTGTGTGTGTGTGTGTGGTGGATAGCTGGTTTAAGCAGCCTCACCTGGCCAGAGTCAGACTGACTAAGACTCTGGGGCCGGGTGAGGCTGCACACCTGTGGTGCATTGAAGTAAGCCAGGCACACAGGATGAACCAGCTATCACAGAGAGAGAGAGAGAGAGAGAGAGAGAGAGAGAGAGAGAGAGAGAGAGAGAGACAGAGACAGAGACAGAGACAGAGAGAGAGAGAGCGAGCTCGGACATGTCACGGCATTTAAACACCTGCTCTGGCTGTAACATCTTGCCAACAATAAACCGTTTTTTAACGACATCATCTGTGTCCCGTGTGGCATAGGAGCCCTGCAAAGCCACCTTACCTGTTACTTCACCTGCCCTATGCCTGCTCAATAATGACACGATGTATCTGTCAAATCTATCTAAATAAATAAATAGGAAATAAGAAAAAGCCATGTGATCATTGGCAGTCATTCTGAAGCACCACGAGGGCAGACATAGTGTCAGTACCACCGTGGCTCATCAGCCACTGGGACGTCCATTAGACCCTCGTTGCTCTTTAACCAAAGACCTCAGCACTGTAGTGTAATGTACTGGGGGGCGGGCTGGGGGGGGGGGGGGGGGGGGGGGGGGGCGGTGAGAGTCCTTCGCTGCCTAATTGAGAGCTAAAGAGGGGCTACACCTTGCAGCCGTGCGCACAGTTAAAGCCCTCTCGCAGCTCCATCTGGGGACGAGGGGCTGAGTAACAACAGCCGGAGGGGCCTTGAGGAGAAATATAAGTGATGGGTGGAGAGGGAGAGAGAAAGAGAGAAAGAGAGAGAGAGAGAGAGAGAGAGAGAGAGAGAGAGAGAGAGAGAGAGAGACTGAGAAAGAGAGAGAGAACTTATTGTCCCAGACAGGAACAAACATTAAGAATCGCACTAATAATAATATGACAACGAGGACGAGGAGTGGCTCCAGGGGAGCAGGTTTTTTTTTTTTTTTTTAGTGAAGCACAGCGAGAAAGGGATGAGGAATAAACAGGAGAAAGGGAGGAAAAGGGGGAGTGGGTGTGTGTGTGTGGGGGGGGGGGGGGGGGGGGGGGGGGGGGGGGGTGAGGTGTCTGAGAGGAGTACAGACTCCAGGGATAGTTATACTGCAGCCTTTGGGGAGGGGATATTTTTTTGTTCTCAGTTTGGCATATTCATTCTTCCATCATTACTGGAGATCAGCTTCAAGATGCGGTGTGTGCGTGTGTGTGTGTGTGTGTGTGTGTGTGTGTGTGTGTGTGTGTGTGCGCGCGTGTGTGTGTGTGTGTTGGTGTGCAAAAGCATGTGTGCGTAGTGCACCTGCGCATCATATCTATGTATCTGCATGTCTGAAAAACTTTGAGAAAGTAGGCCTCACTTGAATGCATCCATATTTGTGCGTGTGTGTGTGTGTGCGCATGCGTGCGTGTGTGTGTGTGTGCGTGCGTGTGCGTGCGCAAGTCTGTCCGTGCAAACGCGAGGCTAATTCGCCTTTTGCAAATTCATCGCATGGAGAACTTGAAAAGCCCGTGGCGGCGGCGGCGGCGCGTTCATCACCGCGATGTACACCGATTACGCGGACGAGAACCGAGCGGTGCGTCATGACGCCGAGGAGGACTGCTTGGCGTCCGCCTAAAGCCGCCAAAAAAAGAGAACTATCTACGCTATCTATCGTCACGTGACACGTGTCTGACGTCATAAAGAGAAAAGCCGTACGGTACAGGCCCTGGATGGAGACCGCGTCCCGTGAGATGCACCGGCGCTGCCACGGGCGCTTTGCCCACTTTAACGGGAATAAAGCAGAGGCCTGTCCGTCCGTCCGTCTGTCCGTCAGTACGGCGAACATACTCCTGCCTTCAAGTGAATATTACGTCCCGCACTGGAGGGCCAGTTTGAGACTTAAGTGACTTTTAACTAAAGTGTTGTCTGGGGTTGGGAGGGGCGAGCAGAGGAGTGGTGGGGGGGGGGGGGGGGGGGGGGGGGAGGAGAGAGAGAGAGAGAGAGAGAGAGAGAGAGAGAGAGAGAGAGAGAGAGAGAGAGAGAGATGGAGATGGAGAGAAACTTCTGGTTCGGAGCAAGGAGAAGTCACCGGTCTTTGGGGAGGATTTAATAATGTAGCACGGACATGTGGACCTCTATGAGAGTTAAGTACACTTCCAAGTGCACTCCGAAGTGTGGGGGAAAAAAGATGACAAGTGGGAAGAACGAGGTGTCACGCATAAGTATAGGGGGATACATCTGGGCCACCACATCACATGTCAAGGAATTTGATTTAGACGTAGCCATGTTGATACTCGCTCCCTGGTCAACATTTAAATGTAAGTAGGAACAAATAATAAAAAAAACCATTTTGTTTTGCTTGTAATATATATTGATGTAATATGACAAGGAGTGATGACAATGAGGCTTTTCTATGCATTTGTGTGTGGGTGTGCGTGTGTTTGCTGTGTGTGTGTGCGTGTGTGTGTGTGTGTGTGTGTTTGAGTGCCATCAGAAGGTTTTAATAGAGCCGTATATTCCTTTGCATTTTACATGACTTTGGGGCGAGCAGCTCTCGCCTGTCTCTTTCACTTCGGATCACAGATTCAAACTGGAACGCCGGACGGACTGCAAGTTTTCATATCGCTATGTTGCGTGCGTGTGTCCATGTGTGTGTGTGTGCGTGTGTGTGTGTGCGCGTGTGTGTGCGTGTGTGCGTGTGTGTGTGTGTGCGTGTGCGTGTGTTCTAGTAGGATCAACAAATAAACACTGCTATTTTTAATTGGGTATTTCCCCAATATTGCAAGGGCTTAACATTTGATCCCGATGAAATCCAAAATCCCAATATAATCATTATAATCTATTATAATAAATAATATAATATATTATATATTATATATCACATAGAATCATACAGTCATATGTAAATGGAGTCATTTTCAACACACTTCCTCAACATTGATCATTATGGCCATAATCAAATCTGAGATAAGTTTCTTTGTTGACACAACAGAGCAACAGGCCCCCCCCCAACTCCTCCCTCCTCCCCCCTAACACACTCTCTCTCTCTCTCTCTCTCTCCCACACCCCCATTGACCCCTAATAACGTACAGTAAGGCCTCCACTCTCTGGGTTTTTTCTCTTCTGGTGAGAAAGCCAGATTAAACATTCATCACTCAGCCCATACCCACACAGCAGTGTACGGATGCGTGTTCACGTCGGCCGGCCGCTGATCCTCTTTCTAATGCGGCAAACTTCAGAGCAAAATATTTGACCTTTTCTGGGCACAGAATCAAACAGCGAAAGGGGGGGCGGGCGGGCGGTGGGGGGGGGGAATTATTTTGACTTGGCACCGCAAATATTATAGTGCCGCGTCTGTTCCCCGACCCGACCGAAAGTGAAATTGACTGAAAATATTTGCCTGCAGTTTCAAATTGAAACTGTCAAATAACATTGTCTGTCACATGACTGATATTGCATTAATTGAGCTTTCATTAAGGACGTGTACGGCGAGTACATCAGTGGCCACAATTGATTCGCTGGATCGGCCCGACACGAACAGAATGTTCTGGGTTGACATCAAAGTGTCGCCCCGGTTGGCAGGCGGGTCCGCCGAGCACTTAAGGAGAGATTAAAATTCACACGTTCTTCCCACACACACGCACGCATGCACACACACACACACACACACACACACACACACACACACACACACACACACACACACACACACACACACAAGAGTATCAAGCTCGTAGCTGACACACTGATCTGCCTGCTAGAGAGGGAGAGAGAGAGAGAGAGAGAGAGAGAGAGAGAGAGCAAGATTGGATTTAGTGGGCTTTTTTTCATGGTGGGGGGGGGGCAGGGGTTGGTAGACTGATACTGGTTTCTCCAGATATTTGTGTTTTCTCGAAGGTAAGTAAGATGGGAAGACAGGGTAATTTCTAATGTTAAAAAAAAATTAAAGACTAAAAGTAGCAGGAAATGCGGAGCGGCTTAATGAACACCGTGGACATTACTGAACATGATGTACTTTTCTGTGTCTTCTACTCATCTTACACACAACACAACATTGACACCAGAAACCCTTCAAGCATTTAAAATAGAGAGAGAGAGAGAGAGAGAGAGAGAGAGAGAGAGACAGAGACAGAGACAGAGACAGAGAGAGACACACACACACACACACACAGGACTCTTCACATTAAAGTTAACTTTCGTATTGAAACATAACCACGTTCTCTGATAGCACACTTGGGATGACTTAAATTTGTCAGTTATGTGTACGTGTGTACACACACACACACACACACACACACACACACACACACACACACAGATGGGACGCTTGTGTGCAATTGTCTGTGTGCTCTAAGGTGTCCGTGTGTCTGTGCGTGGAAACGAGTGAATGGCTCTCTTTTAACTTAATGCAAATTTAATGAGAGTTTCCCCCCCCCCCACCCCTCCACCCCCCCCACCCCCCCCCCATAGACTGAAGAAAAGTGCTGTCAAGCCGCCCCTCTCTCCTCTGACAAGGCGCAGACAGATCCGGCTCCCATCGCCTCTCATTCTGGTGTGTAATTGCCGACGAGATAGACTCGTTACGCAGAGGTGCAATTTAGATCGCGTAAGCCAAGGAGGGAGACAAGATCCGACCGGGGGATGGATGAATAATGAAGAGTGCAGCGAGTTTGTATTCATTTAAATATAAATAATAGAA